TATGTGTTGTTAACAGCCCCTTGACTACAATACATAATTCATCAGACACACATATGGGTGGTTAACAATTCCTTTACAACTATACATAATTCATCAGACACCCATATGTGTGGTTAACAGCCCCTTGACTACTATACATAATTCATCAGGTACACATGTGTGGTTAACAGTTCCTTTACAACTATACACAATTCATCAGACACACATATGGGTGGTTAACAATTCCTTTACAACTATACATAATTCATCAGACACCCATATGTGTGGTTAACAGCCCCTTGACTACTATACATAATTCATCAGGTACACATGTGTGGTTAACAGTTCCTTTACAACTATACATAATTCATCAGGTACACATGTGTGGTTAACAGTTCCTTTACAACTATACATAATTCATCAGATACACATGTGTGTGGTTAACAGCCCCTTGACTACTATACATAATTCATCAGATACACATGTGTGGTTAACAATTCCTTTACTACTATATATTTTTTACTATACATAATTTAAAACATTGCCTTCAATCTAGATAAAATAAATATTTATTTACGCAAAATTGCACCATTTCATCTTCACAGGAGCAAAAAAGGGCGATATTTGTATACAGACATCCACGAATTGATCAAAAAACTTATAAACAAATTAATGCTACAAAAAAGATCGACCAGTGTGATAGGAAAGAAGAATATTTCCTATACTATGATAATGAATTGTCGATACACAATACGAAAATACATATAATGAAAAACGTTCTAGATGTTAGCTCTTATTTGATATATATAAAAAAACAGAAGTGTCTTCAATCAAAATCTGATCGCAAAATATATAATGATGTTCCGAGTCCCACGTTCTACTTGGAAATATTCCATTCATCGTTAATCGTGCTCAGTCTGATGACCATGATTATGCGCCATTCGCTAAAAACGCAATATTTATTATAAGAAGCTCCCGAAAAGATCACAAGGTAAGTTTTAGACCACATATCACAAGAAACTTTCTTCAAGACTTCACTACATGCTGAAGATGAGTTTCAAGATCATCTTTAAGCAGACCAAACACACAAATCTTCATTGAAGCTGACCAAGTTTGAATAGAATTGCTGTGATTCCAGTTTTTATTGTAAAAACAGCCCTTGGTTTGGAGGTGATCCTGCAGAATAGTGAATGTTTAACTTGTGAGCCTTCATCAGATTCGTATTCTTATTTACTATCTTTTAAACACGTTCCCAGTTTTATCGTAATATCTTTTATTTTTTGTGGTGTTGGAAGGCTCCTAACTGTCAGGTTTTTAATATGTATGGAGACGGATTCTTTACAGTAGATGTCTGTGACTTGTTGACGATAAATTTCAACAATAATCAAACAGCACACAGTCCAATGGTTTTAAAATAATATATATATATATATATATATATATATTAAAACAAAACGTATAATAAAAATGTTTTTGCACTGTTGGTTATCACAGTTGTATCCAGAGCTTTAAATAATTGTCTCTTTTTCGTCAAAGTCCACACAGGCTAGTTCAGTTACTTTAGAACACACTTTGACAGGACGAATTATTCTTCCTGTCCTGTTATTCAACACAATTTGTGATAATTTCACTTAAAAATCGTCACTATATTATGAACTAACTTACTTGAACTACATTTTGGAATGGTATTTATAAATAGCCCGACTGAGGCTATTTATAATCTAACACTAATCATAGTCTTCACTTTTTGATTGAGGACCTTTTCCAGTTTTTGGGGCCTATCGCTGTTCTAAACGTTCTGCAGTGAAAAGTTTCCGCTTCTGTGTATAAAACTAAATGCTACTTTATTCCAAACATTGTGTCATTTCGCTCTATGTCACTTAACATTCTCAAAACATGAATATTACTCTAGAAAGATACTTTTTATATTCCTCCAAACAGAAGTTTACACGTGGTGGTATTGGACTATTGAATGAATGAATGAATGTTCGTAAATTCGTAATGAACCAAATATAAAAGTGTTAAATATGTCATAATAGCACCATAGTCGTATCTGTTTCAATACGCCATTGCATTAGTTTATATAAAAATGCAATCAATGGATTGTATAAATTATGAATTTACAACACCTGTGATACCACTCAATTTTTATGAGCGGATAATTTGTGTAAGATTTTAAATTATAATGCACACATATAATTCATTAAATATATTCATTTAATAATTAAAACTGAAAATAGTTTTGACCATGAAAGAAAAAATAATTCCAATGCCATAATGTTAAATTTAATCATCCATGTCTATCCACATAATAAGACACATCATGAAGACTCGCCAAGAAGTGCACAGCATGTTTGAACAAAATGTCTCACAAAGTTATAATAATTAGTGGAACTAAGGAAAAGTAACAATTAAGAATTCGAGAAAATTTATTGATTGCTAAATTAACACCGATTTCAAATCAGAAGAATTTGATGCTTTGTGATATTCAGGCACATTGATCTCTAAAGGTAGGTTACGAGTAACCCCAATAAGCAACAGATTAAGGACATCACTCAGACAGCAAAAGAAAAGATTTAAACACAAGTGAACAAATGAGAGAACATATTTTTAGTTTCATCAGTGAAGATACTGGGTATTTTACTAAACTGACCAGCTTCTATGTACGAAAATTCCATGGGAGCTGGAATTGAATAGAGAGACGTCTACATCTTACAAAAACCTATAGCAAGAATCACGGTATGTCCACACTTATAAGGTTCATTGTGCGGTATCCCACAATCCTATATTATCTTTGTCAATGATTATTCCTTTTATACACAGCCTATCAATAAATAAATTGAAACTCTTTAAGAATACAAATCATATATTTTTATGATGTAATATACAAACAGCCATGTCAAGAAAGAAATAAAATATTTGGAATACCTGTTTACGAATATCTCAACTAACTAAATGCAAAGCCCCCTGCGAAAAGTTTGCAGAAATTACTTGGATATACATGAATAAAGATGTATTATTTTCTAATTATAGCAGGTTAAAATATAGAAAATTTTCAACTGTGACAGCTTTCGCTTTTCCTAATACTGTAAGTTTGTTCTAATTGTTGAATGGTGTAATTTTAAATGACTTATGTAATTCATACAGGAAGCAAATAGACTGTAAGAATCTTGCTTGTTATTAAATACATATTTGGTATTTTCAATACAGGCCGTATAAACCAATCAGAAGCGTCCGCCGCCTACATAGCTACACTTTAAATGATTTTGGTATTGCTTGTCACTTTTATAATATGAAGGGTATTCAACCATGTTCAGCCACGCCCAAACTATTATTAAATACACCAGTTAAGTTTTATTTGGAAAGTATATCAGAACATCACAATATGAAATAAAATATGTCACTGTGATTATCTCCTCTAATATTCAAGTAGCCCCCCAGTGGCACAGCGGTATGTCTGCGGACTTACAACGCTAGAATCCGGGTTTCGATACCCGTGGTGGGCAGAGCACAGATAGCCCTTGTGTAGCTTTGTGCATAATTAAAAACAAAACAAAATAAAACAATATTCAAGTATTTGATAATTATACACAAAAGTACTGAGGAATAAAAACCCTATAATCCGAGTGTTTTCGAAAGGTCCACTTTTCGTAAGCGCTCGGGTTATAGGGTTTTTATTCATTTTTTTCAAGACTTCTTGAACCTATGTGTTTTTCTAACATCATGAATACACAAAAGCACAATGTTCGAAATATTATCTAAAATACACAACACCTCAACGGATAAAATTACAAATATTTCCGTAAAAGAGAAATATGACAACTTCTCTTGTAAGATTTTTGTTTGATCGTTTCGCTTTCATGTAGTATGAACAACATGTTTATAGTCTAACTTATTATTTCGATATGTGAAAAGCATGGTGAAGTATTTGTTGAATACGTAAACATACAAAATGAAAATAATTGTTATATGAAAATACACATGATATTTCCATACCATTTTCACATAATATATATTTTATATCAAACAAGTTATCTTACATTGATTAAACAATTTTTTTAATAATAAATATTTACATTAAAACATATAATGACAGAAAAACCTAGTATTGCTAAACTTTTTTAGAGTCAACTTTTTGTAAGTTTTACAATATTTGAGAAAAAGAGTTGTACTTGGATCATGAAATTGTTGAATATTTATTTTATCTAATTAAACAGTTTCTGAAATGTTCATAAAAGGTTTAATAGCACTTTAACCTGGATTTTTGGTAAGCCCATAATTTTCATCATGCAAGGGTTTTTCGATACTCAAGACAAATTACGCATTTCTTAGGGATATACTGGAAATTTCCCAACGTTGAATTTATTTTTCTACGACATCAAAAGTGTTAAATGCATAATTAAATGTGTTTATCAAAAGTACTTTCAACACTTAACACAAAGATTTTATGAGTTCACGGAATATTTTAACCACAATTTGTGTCTTGAAAATATATTGTTACGACAGCGGAAGTCACGTGACCCTGGTAAACGTCATGAGCTTCTAGAACGTTCGTGTCCCTTCGTGAAGCCTCGAGTGTTTACTAGATATGCGGTATTCTTGTATATAAGACCGCCAAGAAGTGGCGGCAGTAATCGGAATTGAATTGCAGACAGAGATACAGGCCCCCCAGTGGCACAGCGGTATGTCTGCGGACTTACAACGCTAGAATCCGGGTTTCGATACCCGTGGTGGGCAGAGCACAGATAGCCCATTGTGTAGCTTTGTGCTTAATTACAAACAAACAAACAGAGATACAGACGATAATTGAGCCAAGCACGTGAATCATTAGTTCGTTGTGAAATATAGCGTTTGTTTAAGTTATAGCGTGACTGTGGAAATTAAGTGAATTTCAAAGTTGTATTGAGAAATAATAAACTAGTTTTACTTAAGAAAGGACTTGTGTCGCTAAAGTTTCGTCGGAAAGAAATTATATGGGAAATTAACTAATGACCAGAGACGTAACAATATACAATACTTACCGAGAGGAGTATTTCCACTTGTCCCCGACAATCCCGAAAGTGCTTCCAGCACTAAATCCTAGCCAACCCCACCTTCCATAAAGAAAATACAAAAGTAAATAAATTTTCATAATTGTTTCAATCAAATCTGAAAAATAAAAGATGAAAAAAATTCACATCTAAATATTTATGAACTCATTTATTCAAATTGATTTTTGGGTATTTTGTTTTAGTGTATAATTTATTATAAAATACATCCCTATTAGTATTAGGTATTATACCTCATAAAAAACACAAAAACATTCCATCAAGGTTGGCCCTTGGGGTAGGAGATTGCAATTAACAGTTCTTGTCAATTTTACAGGGGTGGGTTTGCAAATACCACAATTTGGCCTAGGGCCGGCTCTGTATTCCATAGAAGTTAACTATTTAATTTATACAATTTGACATTTGAGCTCACACAGATTTACATTTTTGTATTATTCAGCTTTGGTAGTCTTCATAGTCAACCTTTTTGGCTTATAAATGTAATAATATTTTCTGGGTTCACTTTTATTCTACATATTAAGTTATATTGTGTGCTTTACTTCTTTTGCATTTTTTGTTCTTGGCAATTTATTTTTTAATAATATTTGTTTAAAAAAATATATTTTCTAATGAAAAAAATCTAATAATCATAATACATACCACAACATAAAAAGCCCTAACATAGCGTTTGTGGGATTACCGAGTGGTAATGGTTCTGTTCCTCTGTCGTATCTCCCAATACGGGGACCCAAGATAATAGAAGCAACCAGACCACAGCAGCCACCAACTAAGTGAACCGTGCCTGAACCTCCTATGTCAACAGATCCTAAACTAGCAAGAAATCCATCATTGCGCCACATCCAACCAGCAGGCAAAGCGTAGACAACAGTGTTGAGGAAAGTAAAGACACAATAAGCTGTGAATTTGCATCTTTCAGCCATAGAACCAGACACTAAAGTGGTTGAAGTGGTAGCATAGGCAAGCTACAGGAAAAATACAAAGAAAACAACACTACATACAACTATAAATATATTCACACTGTTGGATATACAAGACAGTTCATTTTAAGAGTTATTATTTAGTTTATTTAGTGGTTTAATATATAATGATTATTTAGTTTTCATAACAAGAGTGTTAAAAGTTAATTATTTTAAAAGCGTTTCGTTACGTAACTCTGAATAATAATTTGTCTTTTCAAATGATGTTCTAATGTAATTGAAACTGCTCGTTGGGACTTTGATCAAAAGGAGACAATTATTTAAAGCTCTGGATACAATTGTGGTAACCAACATTTATAGTGGTTATTTTAAAGTGTGTTTCACAGCTTGTATTGTAGCAACAGAGATAGAGAAGAATAATTCGTCTTGTCAGTTGGATTCTAAAGAAACTGAACCAGCTCGTGTGGACTTTGACGAAAAAGGAATTGTTTGAAGCTCTAAATTCAACTGTGGTAAACAATAGTGTAACAAATTTTTGTATACATATTTAACTTGTTTTGAATATATATTATTTTAAAACAAGTGGATTATGTGCTGTCTGTTTATTGTTGAAATTTATCGACAACAAGTCACAGACACCTACTGTAAAGAATCTCACTCCCCATAAAAACCTGACACATACCCTTCACAAAATCGATGAATTTTTGGTGGTATCGTGCTACCTACGAAATGTCAATCAATATTAAAATGTAGTTGTGATATATTACTTTCCACAGTGACTTGGCTGCAATTTTCTCGTGACTTGCTCACTGCAAATTCACAATCGTTTAATGTAACATACTCAACCCCTTATAATCCTTTACAATGATTGATTCAGGTTACAGTAGTAACATTAAAACACAATGTAAAATCTAACACCAAGAAGGGTTAAGCATAACGTATAATTTCACAAAATATATTATAGAATATGTTAGCATACATGTGAAAACACTAATATAAACTCCTTAAAAGGAAATGACTTTAGTGTAAGGGGTGTTGCAAAATAAATCATACTTTTTTCCCCGAAGTAATGACGAAGTTGGTAGGACCGCGAATATCATCACTCGTGAGAAAACGTCATTTCAACGTACTCTACTTCTCGAATTTAATTTTTTGCGAAAACTTTTGAATCATGGTGCTCACTAGAACTCAGGTTCGTGCTGCATGTGCTGTATTCGGGATGGCTCAGAAACTAGTCGCAGACATGCTCCAAGAATTCAAGTCTTCTAACCGACACATCGCAATGCCAGATTTGAAAAATCCGAGTAATGCCTCAAAAGTTTCAGAATTGTTGAATTTGAAAGTGTGGTCAGTGAAAAAGTGGTGGAATGTGGATTGGGAACTCTCCAGATTTAAATCCCACCGAAAATGTCGGAGCTTTCGTTCAACAATGCACAGAAGAAATGAATGCGAGAGACATAAACGTGAAACCTTGATTCGTGTTCTCACTGATGTGCTCACAGAAACAGCCACAAAAACAGACATGTTTGTTGCATTGCTGAAATCTTTTGCAAATCGATTAAAACTCGTGCGTGAGAACAATGGTGGCCCAATCAAGCGATATTGATACTTGGAATTACTTTTTGATTGAATTAAAACCTTATTTTACTTTGTTATGCTCTCGAGGAAAAAAGTATGCAACACATAGATAGTTTTCCTCATAAAATAGTACTGATGTATGTTGTGCACTACTAACACTATGACGTCTGTTTAAATGGTTTTACCGTAGTACTGATGTATGTTGTGCACTACTAACACTATGACGTCTGTTTAAATGGTTTTACCGTAGTACTGATGTATGTTGTGCACTACTAACACTATGACGTCTGTTTAAATGGTTTTACCGTATGCTGACAGGCTAGAACATTTGTTCTTCTATATATTCACTGCACGTGCACAATTAATCAGCTGCTCCTTTCTCAAAGGCTGCTTACCGAAACCAAGACATTTCTTCTGGTATAGGTGTTTGTGTGTACTTATATTTACCATTCTATAAAATTATAGTTTTAACATTTATAGACTTTTATTGTGATGGTCTACATTGAATTGTTTCGCTTGATATAATTTATCTTCCATATTTACATGATTTTGTTAATTTCGAGAAAAAAAAGATACGGATCGGTTTGTTATGGGGAACTTTTATTAAATCTGTGTTGCAAAGATCATTTAATAATTATAGAATATTTTTTACTGAATTATGTACAGCTAATGTTATCGTCGTTTTATTCCATTGTTTATTGTGTAATTTGCTGGACTTGTTTTGAACGCACATTTTTTAAATATTCTCTGCTGTGAGAATCAAATAATATTATTTTAGTTAAAAGTGTGTTATTATATCAACATATATTAGCTAATTCAAAATTATAAGGTTATTTCAGTAGCGATTAACAAAGAATATTTATGATTTATGATTTCATATTTTAAAATTATTCATACAGAAACTATTCAATAATAATGATAATTGTTTAAAGTATTGTGCTTGGAAACCGAATGTTTGAGAAGCTGGAGTCATGTGAAGGCACCTATAACCACAGGCCATGGGAAACTCCGTTCTCGGGTGGTAAATCATACAAGTAACAAGATTCACAGAAACATCTGGTGGAACATTTGCTGCTGTAAGGCGAAGAATAATATGATTTTTGAATTAAGCCAACAGTCATTAAATATCAAACTTCACAACAAGTGTTACGAATAGCTGAATACAATAAAACCCAATATTAAAACACTCCTGACTTTCAAATAACATGTTTCACACCTTCAATGTATTTCGATCTCTCAGTACATGTGAAAAGTTTGTTAATTAGTAACCTGAGGAACATTTTATCTCAGAATCCTTGTTGGGTGTGAATTTCTATCCTTTTTTCCTACCATCTGATAGATGACTATGATATCAGTTTCTTCAGATTACCTAAGTTAAAAACATTACCATTACCAGTTATGTACTACTAATTGAATTTTCGAGCTGTCTGTGTAATATTGTTCAATTGCATCATATTGTTACGTATCCGTTTGTTAATT